TGAGCCGCTAGAGCTACCTTGGAATGAAATAGAACATATAATAATAATGACAGGTAACACTTATTGAACGGTTACTATGCCAAAGGCACTGTGCTAAGTACTTTATATGACTTATCTTGAATATTTTGCAAACAGCAGGCTACTTCAGTTCTCCCCCAGGCTCCTGGGGCTGGGAGTTTCCTCTCTCCTAGTGCTTGTGGCATGTAGGTGGAGAAGTCTGAGAAGGGTTATTTATCGGATGTTTGAATTTTTAGCTTGGTGCACTATTGAACCTTAGTAAAGACTTGTGGAAAGAATGAATCCTGCTTTCTCTGCTAGAATGTTCTTTCCTCCCTCCCTGACAGGTGAACTCTTATTGATTCTTCAGGAATCAGCCTTTGTTGTTGTTGTTAGGTGGCGTCAAGTCAGTTCTGACTCAAAGTGACCCTATGTACAACAGAAGGAAACACTGCCGAGTCCTATGCCATCCTCACAATCATTGCTGTGTTTGAGCCCATCTGCAGCCACTGTGTCAATCCATCTCATACAGGGTCTTTGTGGTACGATGAATTGCTTTTATATTGCCTTTGTCACCATGGTCTCATAACTCTTACCAAATGACTAGGTGTGAATATGCAAATGAAGTGCTTGTGGCCCACCAAGGGGATTGGATAGCTTGCTAATAATGCAAATAAGGTGCATGGCACATTTGTGGGAGTGGGAGCATGCAAATAATGTGTATGGAAACCCAATAAGGGGATTGGTCAGTTCAGCCATCCTGCTAGGCTTAAAATGAGACTTCCCAGAGGTAGATGGGGGACATCACTACCACCAAGAAGAGACAGGAGTGTAGTGTGTCTTTTGGACCCGGGGTCCCTGCGCTGGGAACCTCCTAGACCCAGGAGATAGCTGTAACACTGGAGACAGCACAAGAAGGCGAGAAGCAGCAGCAAGTGCGGCAGAGAACTGGCAGCAGCAGAACCAGGGGACTGGCAGGAGATGGCGTAGTGGGCTTCCTGGCCCACGGAATGAGAAAGCTGAGCGCCTTTGGGCAGGAAGCATGCTGGTGGAGCAGGATGCCTCCAGACACTTGGCAAGCGAGGCTCGCCAACCCTTCTCTAGGGACCGATCCCTCCTGATAACATGTCCAGAGTACATGAAACTTCATCTCACTCTTCTAGGAGCATTCTGGCTGTACTTCTTCCAAGACAGATTTAATCGTTCTTCTGGCAGTACATGGTATATTCAATATTCTTCACCAACACCATAATTCAAATGCATCAATTCTTTTTTGGCTTTTACATCACCTTGACTGTGAAATGTGACTCCCAGCTATGTTCTCTGGCTCCCACAACCCCATGTTTCCTTCAGACCCAGCACTGAGCACCTGGATAATCACTCTTTATTTACTTATTGATCTCCCCTACAAGTAATTGAGATCTTCTTTAGGGATGGGTCTGGGTCTGATTCCTCATCATGTTCCTATCACATAGCAAAGGGCTTCACACAGAGAAGATCTCCGTGAATATTTGCTGAACGAATGAAGTAATGTTAGCTAGTATCCAGAGCTGACCCCCAAAAGAGGAAGAAGTGATTCTGTGTTCTCTCTCTAGGCTTATTTTCTTAGCTTGTGTAGGGGCTGAATGGTGGCCTCCCCCAAAAGATACGTCTATATCCTAACCCCCAGAGCCTGTGAATGTGATCTTGCTTGGAAAAATGGTCTTTGCAGATGTTAATTATGTTAAGGATCTTGACATGAGATCATTCTGGATGAGTCCTAAATCCAGTGACAACTGTCCTTGTAAGAGACAGCAGAGGAGAAGAAACAGGGAAAGGGGAGAACAGGGCCCTGCACCAACTTCAAGATTGTCGATAGGTTTGAGTTCATTGTTGTGGCTTTGTGTCAGTCCATCTCATTGAGGGTTTCCCTTGTTTTCGCTGATCCTCTACTTTACCGAACACAATGTCTTTTTCTAGTCATTGGTTTTTCCTGCTGATGTGTCCAAAGTAAGCTAGTCAAAGTCTCGCCATCCTCACTTCTAAGGAACGTTCTGATTGTCTTTCTTCTAAGACTGATTTGCTCGTTCTTTTAGCAGTTCACAGTATATTCAATATTCTTCATCAATACTACAGTTGGAACACATCAATTCTTTTTCTCTCTTCCTTTTTCACTATCCAACTTCTGCATGCATATGAAGTGATTGAAAAGACCATGGCTGGGGTCAGGCGCACCTTAGTCATCAAAGTGACATCTTTGCTTTTTAAAATTTTACAGAGGTTTTTTGCAGCAGATTTGCCCAGTTTTAATATATGATAGTATATGCTTATCTTTTATTAAAAATATTTTTGAGTGCAACTATTATATGCCAGGTACTCTGCTGGGCACTTTACATATTAAATGATTTCTTTTATAAGGATCAGCACAAAGCTGGTTCCTATAAGGCAGAGGTTAAAACTGTCTCAAATATCCAACTTTTCCAAATTGCCGTATCACTCTGTCATCTCTAACATCAACTACTCCTCCTCAGTACTCTCCTTCCCATCTTTGGGTTCCGTAATTCACTGCAACATCTCACAGAACTCACAGAGTGTATCAAATAAATGGCTCATGCGGTTGTGGAGGCTGGCAAGTCCCAAATCTTTGGGTCAGGTGTAGGTTTCTCCTGTCTTATGTGGCTGCAGGGCTGACAAACCCAAATCAGCAGGCCAGATGACAGGCTGCTGGCTCACAAGGTTCGGGAAGCTGCTGGCAAATCCTAGAATTGGTGGGTCAGATGGCAGGCTCCTGGCTCAATCTCCAAGAACCAGAGGTCAGATGATGATGCAACACATGCGGGATACAGAGTGAGTGAGAGGACTTTTCTTTTTTTAATTGTTGTGATTTAAGTGAAAGTTTACAACTCAAGTTAGTCTCTCACACAAAAATTTATACATACATTCTTTTGTGACCCTAGTTGCTCTCCCTATACTGTGACAGCACACTCTTCCTTTCCACCCTAGATTTCCCGTGTCCATTCAACCAGCTCCTGACCCTGTGTGCCTTCTCATCTTGCCTCTGGACAGGAGCTGCCCATTTAGTCTCATGTATCTATGTGAGCTAAGAAGCACACTCTTCACGAGTATCATTTTATGTTCCATAGTCCAGTCTAATGCTTGTCTGAAGAGTTGGCCTCGGGAATAGTTTTAGTTTTGGGCTAACAGAGAGCCCGGGGGGGGCCACATCTTCCAGGGTCCCTCCAGTCTCAATCAGACCGTTAAGTCTGGTCTTTTTCCTAGAATTTTAGTCCTGCACCCCACTTTTCTCCTGCTTTGCCAGGGACTCTCTGTCGTGTTCCCTGTCAGGGCAGTCATTGTGGTAGCTGGGCACCATCTAGTTCTTATGGTGAGAGGACTTTTTTTTTTTGAGAAACTCCCCTTACTTGAGCAAGGTGGTGCAAGGATGTGATTTGAGTAAGGCGGTGACTTCAGTCATGCCCTTTAGTAAACGTGTGCCTCAAAATACACCCCACTCTAATCCTATCACATATTTTATGTGTACAACACATACAATACTACCAAATGGAAGATAATCACATCAGATCACAAAATGGAAGACAATTACACAATACTGGGAATCATGGCCTAGCCAAATTGTAACCATCACAGGTTCCATACACTTTATTTGCCTGGTCCCATCCAGTGACTGTGTGGGAGTCACAAAGATTATGGCTAAAAGGGCCATAATTACTTACTTAATCTCCACAGAAACTAGGAAGTGGCAGCCAAGATTCCAACAGTGCCTGATTCCTGTTGTGTCTGACTCTAAAATCTTGTGTTCTTTCTGCTACGTCAGTCCAGGTGGTTGAAAGATCAGTCTAGGAGAAAAAAAAAGACAGATCAATATCGTGCAGAATGACTCAGTATTTTTTTTTTTTTTTTTTTTATCATAGAAGCAATTGCTATAGGAGCTATCATGATGATCAAGAAAGTCTTTACGGAAGAGATGGCATTTGAGCTGGGCCTTCACTTCAACAAAACATTTCATGATTATTTTTTGTTCCAGAAATCAGACACGGTCGTCTTGCTCCAGGAACTCACAGTATATATTTGTGTGTGCTATTAAAAAGAACAATGCAATGCAATCAAGCACAAGGTTTGAGAGAGTTTAGACGAAGGATTTCTGACTGAAGGTCTTAAAGAGGATCAGAGAATGCTTTTGGAGGAAGGGACCTCCTCCCCCCTACCCCCCCCCGGGCTGAGATTTGATGAGTAAACATCAGCCAGAAGGAGAAGAGTAGCAAAGGTTTTCGCGGGATAACATAAACAACCCATCCGCAGAGGTGAAACAGTATCTAGGCACACATTGCAGCTCAGCGTACTAGTTACTGGCGAAGAGGGGGGCGTGGAGTTGTGGGTGGAATTGTTCGTGCAAGAGCTTGTGGTACTGCCCGACAGGTCTCTGGTCTCATTGTATCCTGCGTGGCGGCTCTCTGCTGAACCATAAAGCATTCCTTTTCCATCCCTTATGTTCACGGGAATACCTCGGGAACACCTCGGAACAGCCATCTCAGGCGCCAATCAGGTCTCCACCCTCCACCGGAGGCCCATGACCATGGCAACCAGGTTAGGGCGGAAGTGGCTCAGAAGACTGACTCTCACTAATCAGGTGACTTGCCTGCCTTCTGCACGTGACACCGGAGCCCTGGCTCGCTTTCTACCTAATCAGACCCTGCCCTTCTTCGCTTTACCGACAATTGACAGCGACCTAGAGCAATGGCCCTTACGGCTCCACCGGGAGACCCCGCCCCTTAGTAATGAAAGAACCAATTAGACTGTGAACAGAAGAAGCAAGGCCCCACGTTTCACCCCAGTTTGACAGACGCAATTTAGGCCATCCTCTGGTTCCTCCGCCCCTAGCCCTATCGGCCGGCGATGGACAGACCTTCTGCCCAATAGCACATACCTTGGATGTCGTTGGGGCCCGCCCCTGTAAGAGCTGAACCAATGAACAAGCCAGGTCCCGGCCGGGCTGGTGGGGGTTGCACTGCGGTAATATGGCTCTTCCTTAGCCAGCGGCGGCGGCGGTGGTGGCAAGTGGTGGGATAGAGCGGTCCTGCTTTTCGGGTGGCGGGTTTCTAGGCTGTAGGAGCTCGGCCGATCGTGGCTAGGAGGTGGTGGCGGATGCCGGAGGAGCGCCGGCTCCGCCGCTTGGCGGCCCCTGGGTCAAGATGAGCGGCTCAGCGTCGGTCGGGGGCCCGGTCCCCCCACCACCCCTGGGCCCGGCCGCCGCGCTGCCTCCCGGTTCTGCCGCGCGGGCTTTGCATGTGGAGCTGCCGTCCCAGCAGGTAACCCCGCGAGCTCGCGGCTTTCGGGAGGGACCGGGAGGAGGCTCGATGAGGAGACCCTGTTGGCACCGGTCTGATCTTGTGCCACCGGGAGACCCTGAGAAGTCACCGAGGAGAACTCAGAGGACTGAGAAAGGCTGACAGGAGATCTTATGAGGGTAGGGGATTCAGTGATTGTCGAACCTCTGGGAAATCCGGGTGAGAAGAAATCCCGTTACAGGAGATGGGCTTGGTAAAGAGAACAGTAAGAGACCTTGTGAAACTCTGGGGCCCCGGCCTGAGTCCACCTCTCGCTTTAGAGAGTTGAGGATTCCCTTGCGCAGACCCTCCCCCTTATTGCTCCTGGGAAGGGACCTGGGGAAGCCCTTCTGTCCCTTGGCAGACAGGGAAAGAGCTTTTCCTTTCTCTTCTCACCAGTCACACCGCTTCCTCGCCACCCCCCCGCCCTTAGGAGACTTCAGGTTCCGGCATTTACTTTTAATCTCCCTTTACTATGAAGTACTCTCCTCAGCCTGTAAGAGAAATGTATTTGGGACTTTGGGGTTTTCTTCTTAATTCCCAGACCCCCCAAAGAACGCATCTTAACAATTTAGGGGAATCTTTCCTACTTCACGCCCCCAACTGAAAGTCTGTGGAACGAGGATTTGATGTATATATTCATGTCCTCCCCCCTGTCTTTTAGCAAAGGACTTCAAGGGCTTCTTGGGTCCACATCATAGGGGGATAATAAAGAGGGAGCACTGAGTTTGGGGATCTGATAAAATCCTCTGTATCTCTCACACATGTATGTAGAGTACTTTTTCTACCCTTCTCTCCCGTGCCCTCCCTCTATCCCCGGGAGGACACTTTGAAGGAATATTAGCATTAAAGAAACTTAAAGTACCTTTCACCCTCTCTGTCTTTCTTTTTCCAAGAAGACCTAAGAAAAGCTGTCAGTTATTGAGAGTTCTCTTGCCTGACTGGTGCAAGGTGCTCAGCAGGCATTAGCTCTTTTAATCCACACAACTCTATCAGATAGCTATTTTTATTATCCCCATTTTGTAGTTGAGAAAACTGCGGCTCACAGATGTAAAATCACTTGTCCAAAGCCTTACTGTTAGTAAGTGAATCCAGCGGTCTGACTTTTCAGCCCATGCACGTGGTTGTTTTGCTTGAGTCTTGAGCAACCTTTTCTCTGCTACCTTCACACAGGACAAGAAGTTTCCTTCAAACTTGCCTTCCTTCTTTAAATCCTGGCCTGTGGTACTTAGGAAAGGATTCATAAAGAAGAAAGCAGAGGTTGGGGGAGGGGGTGGGTGAGAAAGGGGATAGATTTGAATTCAGGAAAGTGAGGGGCGGGGGAAGGGAAGAGAAGATTTGGAGGTTACAGCCCCAGTGCTGGCCATTGAATTGTTATGTGCCCTGGCGTCAATTTTTGACTCGTAGTTGACCCCATATGACAGTAGAACTGCCCCACAGGTTTTCTTGGCTGTAATCTCTACAGGAGCAGATTGCTGGGTCTTTCTCGGCACCACTGGGTGGGTTTGAACCGCCAACCTTTTGGTTAGCAGCTGAGCGCTTAACTATTGTGCCACCAGGGCTCCTGACCATCGAGTAGTGTGGCTGAATTGTTTGCAGAAGCAAGGCTTTTTGTTACTTGGGAGGCAGAATAGGATGTAAAAGACTGGAACAGCATGTGTCCTGGCCATGTGGCGCTGTTGGGAAGGAAATTTGCGGAGATTATTAGGAGTTTGAGGGTAGTGAGGTTTAGATTGTATTGTGAGGTGCTGGAAGAGGGTAAAATTGTAGTTGGGGAGACTTGTCTCTGGAATGGGCATTAATGTGCACTTTCCTATATGTGGGGAGGTAGATTGTGAGTGTGGATCCTGGGAGAGGCACTGGGAGAAGTCTTAAGGAGTTGAGGGCCAAGGAGTTGAGTTTGGGGGAGCTTTTAAAAAATGTGGAATTTGGAAAGGGAAAGCATCATTTATTTCATAGAACATTTTCTCTGAAAACAATTTACACTTTAACGTTGGGGGAAATAATCCAAATAAGCTGTCCATGGAATAAATTCCACTGCATTTGTTAGTGTTTGTCAAATTTTTGGATTGTTGCCGAGGGATATATAGTGGCTTAAGTGTACGGCTGAATGCTGTGTTAGTGCTGAGTGTGGTATTTATAGCTTTCTGGGGGTGTCATCCTTCTTGAATTCTTGGAAGGCAGCCCATGTAACAAAATACTTTTACTTTTTCAATTGACATTATTTTAACTTTGTATGTCAAAATGCCCAGGTTTTTAGCATATAAATATGTAACATTTAAAAAAGTGAACACTTTCTGTGGAAGCGTTATCTGAGTATAGTCAAATGCACAGATCACTAGTATACAGTTTGGATAATTGTTCCAAAGTGAACATGCTTATGTAACTACTACCCAGATTAAGAAATACAGAATTCTTAGCATCCCAGAAGTCCCCATTATGCCCCCTTCCAGCTTTACCTCTCCTTTCTCTCCAAAAGTAAACACATTTCTAACACAAGAGATCAGTTTTTGCCTGTTCTTGAAGTTTCTATACGTGGAATCATGCAAGATGTATACTTTTGTGTCTGATTTCTTTTGCTCAGCATTGTGAAAGTTATAGTTTGTGTGTGTGTGCATAAAGTTTTTTTCTTCTAGCATTAATTCATTGTCCTTTTCTGCTTATGGCTTTTGTTAGATTTTAAAGGTTTAGTTAAATTGGAAAACCAATTAGTTAACTTTCTTTTAAATAAGATTTTGAAAAGGTGTCATTTCAGCAGATCACCATGTTGGTTGGCAAGATGTCGATATTTCTAAACAAATCAACTCTGTTGATTCAGGATTTCTGGGATAAAGTTGGTCATCTCAAAGCATAGACTCAGTGGTCCCCAGCCTACTTTTAAGGAGGGTTTCTCAAGCTCAGTACTATTGACATTTTAGACTGGAGAATTCTTTGTTTGGAAGGGGAGACGCTGTAGTAAGTATTGTAAGATGTTAAGCTGAATCCTTACCTTCTACCCAGTAGATTCCAGCAGCACCCTCACCCCCCTCCAGTCCTGACAGTGAGAAATGTTTCTAGACATTGCCAGTTGTCCCTTAGGGAACAAAATTGTCCCTGGTTTGGAATCCCTGTTCTAAGGTACATTTTCATTTTAGGATAGAGAGCATCCCTGCTATTAAACAACATCAACAAAATAACCCATACTGTTGCCTTCAAGTCAGCTCTGACTCATAGCGACCCTGTAGGACAGAGTAGAACTGCCCTGTAGAGTTTCCAAGGAGCAACTGATAGATTTGAACTGCTGACCTTTTGATTAGCAGCCATAGCTCTTAACCACTGCACCACCAGGGCTCCTTCCTGCTGTTATCCACTTGTTTTTTCCAATCCCTCTAGGTCCTCTTGGTTCTAAAAGTGGCTGCAGTGTTTAAGATATTAATTTAACATATAGCATATTAATTCCGAAAGTATTGGAGTTCCCACACCTGTCTTCAGAAAAAAGCCTTAGTTTGTTTGTGATCATACAAAACAAAACTTAAATTTTGTTTGTGTTCAAAGAAAGCGCACAAAACTACTTACAAGACGTAATTAGTTTTTGTCTTATTTTAATCGGCTCATTAAAAAAAAAATTAATTAAGACTGCATAATTGTTGAACCTTTACATGTGTGGGAGCCCTAGTGGCACAGTGGTTAAGAGCTCGGCCGCTAACCGGAAGGTCGGGAGTTCGAATCCACCAGCTGCTCCTTGGAAACCCTACAGGGCAGTTCTGCTCTGTTTTATAGGGTCTCTATGAGTCAGAATCAACTCAACGGCTCGGGGTTATATGTGTGAGTGCTGACTGTAGTCCATTTCAGCTATTGTAACTGTGTCAGATGGGGCTACTACTTAATCTTTGCCTTCTTTTGTTTCTGTATAATCTTACTTTAAGCATGAACTAGTTACTAACACATTTGGAAGACTTTTTGTTTTTTAATTTTTGGTTGAGGTTTGTAACTAACTAGTGAATATAGGCTTATCTGAAGAATTTCATTCACACTCATAGATTTAGTAGTCTTGAAAAAATAATTTGTTTTGTGTGGTAGAGGCATTTAATATGTCCTTAAAAGCTTTATTGAGAGCATTTCTTTCCTCCCCAAAGGCTTCCTTGACTGGGTATAACCTAACTACATTTCTCAGATACTTGGAGCTTGAGAGGCTTTTCAGTGATTGTTCAGTTACCCTTTTGGGGGAGTCACAGATTCCTTTAGAAAACTCACTTAAATACGTATACATACACAATTTTATGTACAGATTTCATTGTTCTGAAGTATAAGTGGATTTCGACTCATGGCGACCCCATATGTGCAGAGTAGAACTACTCCATAGGATTTTCAAGGCTCTGACCTTTTGGAAACAGATCGCCAGGCCTATCTCCTGAGGTGCCTCTGGGTGGGTTTCAACCGCCAGCCTTTTGGCTAGTAGTCGAGCGCTTATCTGGTTGTGACTCTCAGGGACTCCTAACCTGGTTTAGTTCCTCCCTTTAAAAAAAGATTAAAGTTTGCAATTTTTTGTTTTTTGGTTTATTGGACAGCAAGTATATATACACGTACCACGTTTTACATAATAATGCTGACTTACGTTTATTTAACTAGCCCTTTATTGATGGACTTTTGGACCATTTCCAGTTTTTCTCTACTACATTGTTGCAGTAAAACCCATATACAGGTATCTTCGTATTCTTGTATTAATATTTCTGTAGGATAAATTTTGAGCAGTGGATCACTCAGTCAAAGAATACTTTTTTTTTCTTTTTTTTACTTTAAAAGATATTGCCAAAGTATTTCCCAAAAAGGACGTGCCTATTTACACTCTTACCACAAATTATAACAGGGTCTTTTTTGTGGATTTTTAATTTTACATGTGTTTAAATATTAGTTATATTTCAGTAGCTTCGTTTAGTATATAGCAGATACTATTGCAAAGTACATGATCTCATTTATCCTTATATAACCCTGTAGCTTTGAAT